CCGTGTAGTTTGATTTAATTTATGGATAAAGAAAAGCAAAAGAAATAATCAATACTATATTTTGTTTTTGTTTTTGTCGTCATATTTACTTAATACAGGACTTAGGTTAGCATGATTAATCTTCATCTCATTTAATCAAACGCTTTCAGATCTATTATGGCATCGTCCTTGCCCACCATCATCGATCTGGGAATTCTCAAACTGTTTTTCCAATTGATTTGATTTCACACTACCAAGTTCCAGTTTCTCACGAAGCATCACATCCTTCTTCATCAATATCCATCTTCTATAATCGACCAATTAGTCTGTCTCCTCATGGCCGACCATCATCCATCTCGCCCTTCTCTAATCTTTCAATTATAAGGTATGCTCTTTAAATGTTGAATTTTCTATGATTCTTTGATTAACCAGTCAGTTACGAATTCATTAACAGTGTTGATCCATCAGGTCGACAATGAATTTATAATAGATCGGAGGTCGGAAAATTCCGTGTATAGAAAGTTGAGTCAAAGAAAGATAAATACAAATAGATCGCTAAAAATAGTCCGGACAGATCCCGGGCTATCAATTTGTTAGTTCGGAGATCGTGGTAGGTTGGTCAGTCCGGTGGTGAAGATGCTAAGTATAAAAGATTACGATTTAGCAAATTCGCAAGTAGTGATGCTAAAATTTCTTGAGAGAAGTCCCCCCCTGTACTGTCCCGTAACATCTATTTATAGTGAACGGTGTTGGGTTTAACTCGAGTTCAGCTGACCGTGGTTATCTCCTAGGTGTGGTCAGACCGCGGTTAAAGGTTGGAATGGGCTTCTGGCAGCCCGTCGAGCTTCTGGCGATCTGAATCTCGCGAACTGTTTAGAATAGTGGGCCGCAGGTCCAGGCCCAACAGTAGCCCCCCCCCCCGATCGACGAAATGAGGCAATCTGAGTTTTGTTGATTTTAGACCGTTCGATCTGATTCTGAGAAGTCGCGAGATCGCCACGTGTCGGAGTTTTGCTGGTTCCCGCTGCGGTCTCGTCTTCTTCGAGGCGTGACCCCTCGTATTCCGCCCTAAGCCTATAAAAGCAGGACTCGACTCCTGCCCTTTATCTTCATTCTGCTTCAACTGTTTCTCTCTCTAAGGTACTGT